AGGCGCCAGTGGCGGGCGGTAGTTGACCTCCGTCCCAGCCCAGAGAAAACCTAGTGGCTGCGTCGCGCGTTTGGTGGGGGCAACAGGAGGACAGGAGCAGACCGGGGGGCGCCCACGGACGGAGCCAGAAACCAAAACCTTGGCACCCCGTCCGACCTTTCCCAGCCAAGGACATCCCGCCGGACCTTTTTTATCCTATCTTTTTTCCTTCCCCTGCCCTTTCTGCTGCTTCTCGAGGCCTTCCTGAAACCCAGCACTTTGTCAGTTGGGGCGCTTCTGGCCAGGAAAACCTTACCAGCCGGGTCCGTCCTCATACCGCTGACCCCGAGGGCTCTGACACCAGAACCCTTCAGAATAATTCCATTCCCGCTGCCCTCTTGTCGGACTTTTTTTTTTCGTTGACGTGTGTTTTAGAACGCGACGCGTTCAACTAACGGCTTTCGGGGGTGTACCATGGGAATATGTTTTTGATGGGGGGGGTTTTTTTTTTCTCCTGTTGTTTTTGTTCCTCGGTTGTTTTGCGCTCGCCTTACTTCCGCCTTGCTGAACTCACGTGGACTCTCGCTTGGGGGATGAATTGAGTTGGTCTGATGGTGCTGTCTGTAACTTTTCCTGACTAGAGACTGAGTTTTGACCATCATTGTGGCTGTTCGTCGGACGACTTTGTCTTCTCGCCCTACTGAGTAAAGTAGTGGTATGTTCCTGGGGAAGGATGATGTAGTTTGTTGCAGATTGTTCGGAGTTGCAGCCGAAAGCGAACTCCTCCGAGAAGTATATCGCGAGTGAAGCTTCAGAGGCCCGGGATCGAGATGTATTCGACCCATCTTTGATGTGTCTGTTCGCCGGTTTTGTGATGATCTTGTGGTTTTTGTTGCTGGTGCTTACAATCTGCCTCGGATGTGTTCCGCAACTTGAACTTCTTTCGTCCATGTGCTCCATGAACAAGGTGGTATGGCGGACAGTGAGCTATTGGAGTGATGTGTCTCCATCGGATGGTGGAATCAATGGTGTTGATTTGACAATTCCATTGCCGAGCAATGTCTACTTGCTGTTTTGTCCAACTATAAACCGTTGAACCGCATGCAGAGAGTCTTTGTCTGTTGCCATGTGGCATAGAGATATGTTGACTTGCGTTTCATTGCCTCAACCTGCAGTGACACTCCTGGTTCAACGTCGGGCACGTCACCGAGTGATAATGTCTATGTCGTTCTGACATGCAAACCGTCTCTGTATTCTTCCAATCGCTGCGTCACATTATGAAAGCGCATGTCCACTGAGGGCAGGCCGGCTTCAACATTTCAGAGACAGACCGGGCAACCACACGAGGATCGGGAGCCTGACTGTAGCTCCGGTCTGCTCAAACTTGTAATGACCACTTCTGATCCCGCCCTTTGCTTCCGTTGAGCCAATTCGACATGCCGAGGAACAGGACCCTTTTCGTTCTTCAGATGTCGATCTCTCCAGAAGTGGGTTTTATCCGAGATAATCGTACCGCGGCGTATGCTTCGGCAGCCTCGGCTGCTTGACCCTGGCTATTGTCGTTGTTGGACTTCATGCTCTGGAATATGCTTGTGTTGTTCCTCTCCGTGAATTCCGATTGGGAGGTCGTTCGTTTGGGTAGCACCTGCAATGTTTACGAGAAGCCGGCAGCTGAATGTCTCCTTTGCTGGGCAGGCACGGGAGCAATTAGGGGGGAAGTGAGGCGTTGCCGCCAGAACATGGTTATTGCAGACATTCAGAATCTGACGTTGTTCGAATATTATACGAAGACTCTCTTTTATCGGTGACTAGGAAGTGGTTTTCAGAACGGCCGTCTCAGACTAAGAGGTTACAACGATGCCACGTTTATTTGTTGAATCATCAGCCAGGACTGGCTCAGGACTTGGGGTCACAAGAAAACGTACACCAGCTGCAGAGCGTTCATCCAGGCCGGTACTTGACGTCCGTTCCACATGGTTAATATGAGCCCCGCGACGAGGTGAGGAGGAAGGGTCTGCACAAAGAGACCAGGTATATCTCCTATGCGGGGACGACTGCTTTTCCTGTGGGCTGATATGTACTCTTCTTTGATACCGTCGTCGTCGTCGTCGTCGTCGTCTGCATTACCGATGTGTATGCTAACATCAACCTCAATTCTATCAGTTGAGTACATACAGGAAACGTAGTCGTGCAGACAGGTAAAAGGCCAGGCGGTTCCTGTACAAAGTACCTCGTGGTAATGCAGTTAAAACGGTTACTTCACCCAGGAAGTGAGGAAGCGTGATATCATTAGGCCAGGGTTGGTTTGCGATGATGGAAGACTTCGATTGAAGTGGGATTTGCACACACGATGAATTCATATCAGATTACGTCTCCATATCCGCCCTCTTGGCCTGTGATAAAACGCCTGACATAACTGCCCTCATGGAAAGTAGCAAAAGGAACACCATAACGCCACACATAAAGGTGGACTGTCCGTCTGGAGGTGTCGTACCAAGTGAATTTACACTAACAGCGCAGCGTGGAAGAGACCGTCTCAGTGGCCAACTTGGTGAATGCTGTCAACTGAAAGTCACCGATTCAGACTGATCAGTAGCTAGCAGACCACAAGTTCTAGGTTGGACGTTGGAGTCGGCACTAGGAATTTCGAGTTCATCAGATTTTGTCAACATTTCTGACGTATACTGCTATCCTTTGAATGACCTATCACGCCACTTAGACGGCACTATCAGGTCTCGTCTGCGGCGATACAATACATCAGAAGGCGCGAGAAATAGACAGTATCTCGCGCATGGGGCTCTCACGTTAAGCTTCTGGCGGCGGAAGGACTTCTACCCTGGTACAGCGTCACCGAGAGCAGAAAATTTACAATATTCGTTTCAAAGGCAACCATGTAACTTGTGAAATAGACATTCAAGGGATATAGCTCATCGTGCTAGACCTGAGTGGTATGGATCCGATGCCTCGCACCTTCGTGATGCCGGACATCGGGTAACAAACATGCGTTTTTTCGTAGGATATCAAGTTGAAAATGAGGAAACCGCTACAGGAAATGTTCGCTTTTGCCTAAAAGAGCAGGTTATTGCCAAGAAGGACAGGTCGATATGCCGATTGCCTCAAAATGCTCTTCTGACTGGAAACGAGCAGTCTCCAAGACGACGTTCAAAGCATCAACACCATAATATAGTCTACGGTGCCGCAAAGAGAAGACATAACTCAGTGTCGAGACTAGGCCCGAGTCCTCTCACGTCTTGGGGGAAGATACTGACCATGACATTGTTTCTCCCATGTCACTCTAGACTGTTTATAAAGACGGAGTAGTCTCGTCTTTGCGGCGATTGGAAAACCCTGCAAGGTGACATGAGCCCGCACTAGTTGACATTTTACGAGCGTATGACTGAAAGTCGATGAGATCATGTCAAAAGTAGTTTAGGATAACGTAGATTTGGTACGCTATCGGGTATATTCTGGTAGGAGACGCAATCCAGTGAACTGTGATCAGGTTGCGAATCACAGGGATATGAATTTTAGCAATTACTTCAAGCTACACTGGGACGACCAAGAAGACAAGGTCAAGGATATGGTCCAGAAACGGTTTATTTCCATCGGAGAATGGGGATGAGTTTGAGAACATGCGAGTATGGTTCCTCGTAGTTTACATGGGTATGAGCTGTGCGCCGACACCGTGGTGTCGACAGGGAATTCGCCGCCTATCATCAGAACCGTCGCCCCTAACTTTCAAGAGTGCTAGAATAGAAGCGCTTGATGAACTAACTGCCGAGCCTAGAACCTGCCGCGCCGACTTCGTGGTAAAGCCTTCAGACCAACGAAGGTTCCTCGCCTCCGTCCTGATGCCTGTGGTGTTGGTCTGCCTTCGTATGTCAAATAGATACTTCGGTCACCTGCCATCTGCAGCGATCCGAGATCTCAGAGACAAGACAGGGCATGGTTGGATTCTAAACCCGGTCGATAAAGCCGACCCGAATGATCTTCAACGGAGCGAGGCGGAGCAAGACGGGATCCCGTTCCGGAAAGGGGGCCGGCCCCCGGGCTCCGCTTCACAAGCACAACCCTGACGTCACCAGCCCTCCTCGGGCGCTCCTCATGCGCGTCTATCATATGCTTGAGTGGAAGGCACTGCGAAGGACGGAAGGTTGAAAGAGCCCATGGGCCGAAGAGGGAGATGTGAGGTCTCGTGGGATGGCTGATATACGTGGGGCCTCGCGAGCATGGACTTGTCCGTTTTACTCGTGCGAAGGAAGCAGTGATGTTGGTTGCACCCTTGAAAGGGCAGACTTCCCCGGATTTACCACACATGATATAAACCCACATGGCAAGGCCCTAAGATCATTTAAGCACATCAAAATTCCAGTTGCAGATTCTCGATTCTCATAGAGCACATCTCACGCGAATCCTCACATCACAGTGACATACGAGAACGGGCGGCATTTCCGGAGCACGGCCTGGGAAAGGACGGGAGAGAGGCAACGCTGGATATTCGCACGCAGCATGGGACTATCGTTTTTCGGAGAGCTGCGTGCTCCTCACCCCGGGGAACGTCGAATGGAGATTGTTCAAAAACCATTGAATACCGTCGCTGAGCCATGTCTTTTTAAACACCCTGACATTAATGCCGCCCGATCTACCGTTCATCGTGTCGCGTATGTGTAGCCGGCCAAGCAAAAATCAAGTATGTTTGATTTTTTTGTGTTCTTTTCCCGTCCTCGAGCCCCCTGACATGAAGCTACTCGTCATCGTTTCCCGCGAAAGAATAAAACACGGCTCTCCTTGACCGGCTTTTCAAGTCACGCAGAATCATTCCCATGTGTCTCGAAAAAAGGGGGGTGGGCGAGGGGGTTTTGGACCCGCGGGTTGTGCGTTTCGCCTCATCTTGGTGGTTTGACGAGTTTGATTTGATGCCTTTTTTAGCAAGCAAGGTGCTATGCTCTTGTCCTTGCCTGGACCGATGCAACCAATTCAGAATCCATCCTCACTACCAACTCCATCCGATGGGGGGCCGTTTAAATCGACGAGGGGTAAAGCATGACGCGGACAGAGGCGCCGAAAGAGCGGGTGGGGAGGGGGTTGGTGAACTTGGCGCGGACGACACCGGAGTTGCCTGTTTGCTTGTGTTAGACCGGAGGCTCGATTGTGAGGGGAGATTCGAGGGCAGATCTGTATTTACCGTGAGGGCGGGTGACCTTGCCCCAGATGACGCGGATCTTGGTGCCACGGATCTCCTTGGAGGCCTTGTAGACGTAGGCGACCTTCTTGCCGAGGTAGAAGCTGTGTCCTCGTTAGCGACTGATTGCGAGGCGGCATACTGCAGGCGCAGGCGAACGTACTTGGCGGCGTTGGTGTCGTCAACACCCTCAATCTTGATCAGACTCGTCTTGGGGTGGGTGACGTGTCTGCTACGCTGGTAGCTGAGGTGACGTCCCCTGAGAAGGCATCGTTAGTCGACTGTTCACATGAGATTGCAAGTCTTCGCAGCATGATTTCGGTTCGCGTGGGAGTGGTGTCTCTCGAGGTGCTTGGCGGCTCGTCGCATTGTCCATGATTGCGAAGTCGGTGTCGTCGGCGATGTGGGATTTCGATTGGGATTCAACTTACTTGACGTATACTGCAAAGATTCTAGTCAGCACTGGTTCATGTAGAAACAACACGCGCAAAGGTAGTGCGACTCCGTTCGAGCGCTGTGATCCTACCAGGCCGACATCGTCGCGATGTCACCCAGGCAGGTCGCGAGCTCGCTCGATATCGAAATCGCGGAAGCAGCGTGCGGGACGAGGGGCGAGGGCATTCAACTCACATCTGTGACCGGCTTCCGAAGGCATTTTGACGGTGTTAGTTTTTCCTCGCTCCAACCAAAAGGGACTCGAGAAAGGAAAAGGCTGAGGATTGTCTTTGGGCGAAAAGACTAATACTCCGTCGTCGATGGTCGGATGGTGTTTGGTGGTTTCGGTCAGGTGGGCTCACACACGAATAATTTTGAAAATTTCGAAGGAGGCATGCAGCCAGGCTCTGATTGGTACGTATGTATTTAGCGAGCCCTACTCCAGGAAGGATCCACTGGCGGCCAGGACGCCGACGAGGCAAGCCACAGCTTATCGCGCTATCGCAGGTGGGGGGCCATCTGGGGTGCGCCGCATGTGGCTGGGCAGGGAGCGCTTTCCATAGCTGAGAGTTGCGCCCGTGCCTGCGCCTGCTTACCTAAGAATTGTGGATTAGTGTTCCTGTCCTCCGATGCAGGTGCCATGCTTTCACTGTTCGCGTTCCGCGATTCCGCGCCCACCACACCGAACACGGCGACCATCGTGGACTTGAGGGTCTCGGTCACTTCGGGGTCAGAGGCGTTGCCGACCGGACCTGACCTGGTCCTCGCGTGGGCGCACGTCTGCCGCCAGCAAACCCACACCGTCACCACTCGCACCTTTATTCGCCCGAAGTTTTGCACCCCTGGAGGATAAAGCACCTTGGCCGACAGAGAGAAAGTCCGTCAATGACAAATATCTGCATCATTACCAAGAGACCTCGCCTGCGGATATGCCGCCGACCGCTGAGCCTCACCTATGGCATCCACTGGCAAACCAACAACTGCAACTTTCTGGTGATAGAGTTGCAAGAGTCTTTGAAGCAAGATCAAGATTACCTACGCCTCTTACAGCAGAGAACCGCAAACTCGGAAACACTTGTGCGGCTGAACCGGAGTTCCAGAATCTTTCAGGGTGGCCGAGAGAGCTTGGACGCCGAACCCAACCCGCGGAGTTGTGAGACAGTTGCAGGGCCGGCTGTGTTGGCGGTCCGGCGTCCCAAGTGACACCAAAGACCTAAAATCTCGCGGGATTTCCTGAACAGGAACGGGTTGTTTGGAAGAAGCGACAAGACGCAGAGGATGGAGGGGGGTTGCGAGGGGAGATGGGCTGGGAAATGTCCCATGGCATTTTCCCACGCTTCGTCAAGCTCGTCAAAAAATAAAATAGAAAAGGTCCATGGTCGGACGTCTTTTGTAAGCATCGGAGCGTGGGTTGAGAGCCTGGGTGAAGAAGGACCGATCCGTGGGGACCCTTGAAGAGCGACTCCGGAGTTGTGAAGTACTACCTCTTAGTTGGCGGCCGTGGGAACAAATGGCCGTTGGGCTTGCCGCTCGCTGCAATGACTGCACCGATTGGAACGCCTCGACGGGTGGGCATTGCGGCAATTTCTGGTCACAAACTCTGCCGATTTCCAGCAGACTGCAGCAGAGGTTCATGCCACAGTTGCATTGGCCGGACCGGCATGAGATGGATCTTTTTGTATCCCATGGAGCCTTGCCAAAACGCCCCCCGCGGTGACAACATCGGAGTTGATGGGGGGAGAAACGTGCAGAGCAGAGAAGGGAAGGAAATGTTCCTCAACACAGGGCAACAGGGGACGGCGCATATCCGCCCTGCAGACCCGACAGATATGACTCCAATGGAACTGGGCCCGACAGTCCAGGTCGGAGTCAGGGTGACAAGCTGTCTGTTGCTACGGAGCACCGTTTCACACAGGCTGGCTGAAGACCAAGACCAAGACCCACGGCTCCCACGGCTTGCCTCGCTTCTCATCGCGAGTTCGCAGCAGCGAAGGTCCAAGGCCCCAGGCCGATCACATCTCCCAAAGCCAAAGTCCGATCGGGAGGCTCGGTGGTGTCCGGCGTTTGGAAAGATGGAGACGAGAGTCTGGGAGTACCGCCGCAGCAGCTGGAGCCGGAGACTGGAGCATGGAGCCCAGGCCAAGGAAGAGTTGCTGATGTTGGCGTTTTGGCGTTGGACCCTTTTTGGGCCCTTGCTGCCCGCCCGCCTGAAAATGTGAGGGCCCTTGAGGTCATATGGGAAAGCACGTTTGCTTGCCGTGGACCATGGACCGTGGTCCCAGGGGCGCGAATCCGCACGTCTCTGGCAGGCTGCGTGTGCAGTTTGGAGCCTGTGTCTTGTCTTGGACTGATGTTCGACAGGGCTCCAGCTCTATTTTTTTTTTTTTTCCCCCCCTTCCTCTGATGGTTTTTTTTTCTCATTGGAGCTCCGACGCGCGCTCTGACAGCCAGGTTAGTCCAACAATTCTGCTGCAGCTTGCAGATGAAGGCACCTTAGCTTCTCTTCAGTCAAGGCACCCGATCTTGCTTAGGTGTCGTCCCCAGGCCGGGGTCTATTCTGCCATTGAGCAGGTGCAGAAGTACAGTACATACCTACATGCATCTTGAATATATGACTTGGCTTTTCTCCTGCGGATGGGTAAGTTGGGATTTGGGACGAGTGAGCGGCAGCAGTGGGAGTTGATCGACGTTTGCGTGAGAGTTCCCTCCCATTTACCCCAAGTGACGATGCAGTCCGTCTAAGACATCCGCACCGCCATGTATGAGATTCGCACAGTCGACTTCCGCATGGCTTCCATCTGATCCGGCGGGGAGTGTAGGTCTTACGGCGGACCAGGCTGATTACAAGTTAGTGACGAAGGGTTGCTTTGTCTTGTCCAACCCAATTGCCCACTACCGAGGCCCATGCCGTCAGCGCCGGACGAATCAATGCGGATTGACTGACTCTGTGCGAGCTGGAGCTGTGCCAGGAAGCTCTGACTTGACTTGGAGGACAGCACAGGACGGGACGGATATTGAGGGCTGCTCTGGATCTGGTGCTGATGGGCGGCGGGCTTAAGACCGACAGACAGTTAGAATCTCCGGCAGCGCTCAACATTTTATCGACAACACCGAAGACTGCCCCTCCTTTTTTCCCCTCCATTGACATCAACCCTGTCCAAGTTCCAGTGTCAGGTCCAAGTCAAGGTGAAAAGGCCCGGAGACTGCAACGATGGGCGTGGCCTCGCCAACAATGGCCGAAATTCACTGGAAAAACTCCCCAGAGAGCCCACGGTTCGGGAGATAGGCTCAGTCACCGTGCGCCCAGATGTGAGCCTCCCGGCCCAGTGAATGAAGTGTCCGGATACAGGAGAGCAGCACAAGGAAAATAAATAGAGAAGCAAAATAGCAGCCTGTGCTACCATCGTCGACCTGCTTTCTCCCACCTACCTACCCACTTACCTATCAAGGGAAGCTTACCCACTGACTGATTCGCACCGAGGTGCCTAAAGGCGAGCGCGGCGGTGCGGGACTTACAGCAAGTACACAAGTACAGTACATGACGCGCTAGAAGAGCAGCAAAACGCATCCTCCGGTTGTGAGTAAGCTCCCCCTTGCTCTCGCTTTGTGCTGATAGCCCCCGCCTGAGAGCACTAAAAGCGGTACCTCGACCTGCCCTCGAGCCAAGTATCTTTTAGCTTTCTGCGCGTCTTGTCTGTAGGTATACCTTCCTCCAACCCTGGACACCTCCTTCCTCCCCCATCCACGCCCGTACCCATACCTCTCACGGCGCACCCCTACCTTCATCTGTGCTTCGTCATTACTAAATACCCCAATCCATCCGTCCCGGATCCCGCTCTGTATCTCTTTCCAAAACCTTCCCAACTCCCTCTTCTGGCTTTTTGCTTGCGAAGTTTGGTTTCCGTCTGTAGAGACCTATTCTTACCCTTCTTTCCTATCCTCCTCTCTCACAATCTTCACACAGTCGCGCCGCTTCACCGCCGACATTGTCACCATGGCCGACCTTAGCTCCGCCGCAGCGTATGTCACCCCGCCTTCCAACCCCACCAAGCTGCGCTCTCTCTCGCTCTGGCGACTCCCGACTCGAACTCGGCATCGCGAGCGGGATTTGATACCACCGCCAATGTTGAGCGGGTGATCGCAATTGGTGCAGCATGGATTTTTCGGACCTCGGACTATTTGCTAACTCGTGGGCGCTCACAGTTCCATGGAGCTGAAGGAGAACACCGTCATTGTTGTTCTCGGTGCTTCCGGAGATCTGGCGAAGAAGAAGACCGTACGCAGCCACAGCTTCTTGTGACGTGAAAATTAGCTGACCATTTCTGTAGTACCCTGCTCTGTTCGGTCTGGTATGAGCTTCTCGGACCCGCGCGTTGCGATGCTGCGAGCTCGGCGAACTGACTGGCGTAAATAGTACCGAAACCAGTTCCTTCCCAAGGACATCAAGATCGTCGGATATGCGCGCACAAAGATGGACCACGAGGAGTACATCCGCCGCATCAGATCCTACATGAAGACCCCCACAAAGGAGATTGAGCAGCAACTCAACGACTTCTGCAGCCTCTGCACCTATGTTTCCGGCCAGTACGACCGGGATGACTCTTTCCTGAACCTGAACGCACACCTTGAGGAGCTCGAGGCTGGCAAGCCCGAGACTCACCGTCTGTTTTACATGGCTCTGCCCCCCAGTGTCTTCACCATTGTCTCTCAGCACTTGAAGAAGTGCTGCTACCCTACCAAGGGCATTGCCCGCGTCGTTGTATGTTGATTGATGCCCCCAATGGGCTCAGATTCACTGACACGAGCGCAAAACAGATCGAGAAGCCCTTCGGTAAGGACCTTGCCAGCTCTCGCGAGCTTCAGAAGTCGCTGGAGCCCGACTGGAAGGAGGATGAGCTCTTCCGCATTGACCACTACCTCGGCAAGGAGATGGTCAAGAACATTCTCATTCTCCGTTTCGGTAACTCTTTCTTTGGCTCTACCTGGAACAGACAGAACATCGACAACGTCCAGATCTCCTTCAAGGAGCCCTTCGGTACCGAGGGCCGTGGCGGTTACTTTGACGAGTTTGGCATCATCCGCGATGTCATGCAGAACCACTTGCTCCAGGTCCTGACCCTGCTCGCCATGGAGCGCCCCATTTCTTTCGCCTCTGAGGACATCCGTGACGAGAAGGTCCGCGTCCTCCGTGCCATGCCCGCGATTGAGCCCAAGAATGTCATCATTGGCCAGTACGGAAAGTCCCTGGACGGCAGCAAGCCCTCGTACAAGGAGGACGACACTGTCCCCAAGGACTCTAGATGCCCGACCTTCTGCGCCATGGTTGCCTACATCAAGAACGAGCGCTGGGATGGTGTCCCCTTCATCATGAAGGCCGGAAAGGCCCTCAACGAGCAGAAGACCGAGATCCGCATCCAATTCAAGGACGTCACCTCTGGTATCTTTAAGGACATTCCCAGAAACGAGCTTGTCATGCGCATTCAGCCCAACGAGAGTGTCTACGTCAAGATGAACTCCAAGCTGCCCGGCCTGAGCATGCAGACTGTCGTCACCGAGCTCGACCTTACCTACCGCCGCCGTTTCTCTGACCTGAAGATCCCCGAGGCCTACGAGTCTCTCATCCTGGACTGCCTCAAGGGCGACCACTCCAACTTCGTCCGTGACGACGAGCTTGACGCCAGCTGGAGAATCTTCACTCCTCTTCTGCACTACCTTGACGACAACAAGGAGATCATCCCCATGGAGTACCCCTATGGTGAGTCTTTGTGCTGTTAATCACATCCTGGCTTTGTTGCTAATGTGCTTGCAGGTTCCCGCGGCCCTGCTGTGCTGGATGACTTCACCTCTTCTTACGGCTACAAGTTCAGTGATGCGGCTGGCTACCAGTGGCCCACTACCTCGGCTCAGGCTCCCAACAAGTTGTAAGTCATGTCGCGCGCATTAGCGTAGCTATTTACATAGAAGAATTGATTCTAAATGATGTCTTTGAGCAGCTGAGCAACCCCTATCTTACCACCAATTCCAAAAGAACGCACGCCTCGGCCACTGCATCCGCGATATCCCCAGCGCCGCCTCATGAGGCGAGCGCAACGTATTATATCCATCGAAGGGAGGGCATAGATTCACCAAGAAGACATAAACAAGGGAAGCCAGAGGGAACACCCTAAGGGTGGGCACTGGTTGGAAGATGGAATTTCTTCGCTTTGCTTGGCCGTGTTAGGAAGGATAGAAAATCAATGAGATTTACGTTTCCCACGTTTAACCGCTGACGTTCGCTGAGTCGCAGCCCATATGAGGGAGGAATGCGCCGAATAGCAGTGTGATTTGACTTGACACCTCGGGCAGTGAGAAGGAAGCTCCAGTTTGGAAGACCAGCGAGTCATTGGGGGTTCCAAACGCTAACAGAAACGTCATCATTTGGGGCAGCTCGACGAACTTAGCCGGTTTCTGCAGCATATGCATCCGGCGTCGCCAGTCCACGTATCCTCCGACCCATTGTACAGAATCTAGTCGAAGGCATCGGTCATGTCGTCTCTTGACGCTTCGCTCATGGCGACGGCTGGCCGCATGAGGTCGTGGCCCGTGGCATGCTGGGAAATAGAGTCGAAGACTGAGACTAGGAAGCTCGCTCATGTAGGGTACCACTAGATTAAAGAGAAAGCCGGTACGTACCCGATGTGGAGACTGCTGAGTCAGGTCCTACGTTACATAAGGGAAGGCAAAGGGAAGGACCGTAGGTCGGCTGGTTGGCCAGGCCAGGTCGGCGTTGCCTGAGAAAAAAGAGCAAGGCTCGGCTGCACCTAGACCTCCTGCCTTGCTGTTCTGGCTGGTTGCACGCTCCCTCCATCGCAGCACCACCCTCACCATTTGTCCGCCGGCCGATCACCAAGTGCCGGTTTCCTCGGCGCACCCGACAACCACGGCTTTGCGATATCCGCACACATCGAAATCCGACCCATGAATTGATCGCAGCCTTCCGCACGAGCATCACTGCGACGCCGAAACCGCGACTCTCCGATCGTCGATTGCTGCCGGGACTTTCCCCCCAGATCACGCTGCCTCATCGCGTTTCCACGACACCACCTCTGCCTCTACGGAATCGATCTTTCCGTCTCCTATCGAACTCCCTCTCGAAGCGCGTCGTGGTTACTGAACCTGTGCCCTTCGTTGATGCGATTGCGCCACGCTGCTTGTTTGCGCATCTGGCGCCGATGATTGAGTCCCATCTCACAGTCACCGTGGATAGGGATCAGTCTTTCACGTCACTTGGTCGCTTGTTCGCGGCGACCTGCCCACCGCAACCAAAGTTATTCTACGTTGTTCACGAAGCGTCCTGCATCCCACTCTCGGGGGGACGGTCGTGAGGCAGCCAGCGACGTAGGGAAAGGCCTTCCCCCGATGCCTGGTGTTGTCAACATGGACAATGGAGGGCAGAATGGAATACATTCGAACCACGATAGGAATCTGAAAACGAACGGCATCAACGGTACAACGATGGACGGTCAGCCCTCGCCGAACAAGGGCAAGGCGCCCGTCGAGGCCTCTAGCAATTTGGCGAACGGGGTGCCAGCCGACTCAGGCAAGCAGCAATCGCAGATGAACACCGGTCTAACTTTGCAGCCAAAATCGAGAATGAACGACCTTCCCGAAGAGATCGTGCACATCACCCAGGGGTACATACCGCTGTCCATGATTGTTTCCCGACTCGCGCAACGAACCCACGAAGACCTGCAGAAAGTTATTATGGAGATGGCGGCCGTAAAATGGGCACCGCCGGCGGTCAACGGAAACACACCCCAAGGCAACGAAGCACCGGACGACATGTCGGAAGGAAACAAACGAAAGAAGATGTTGATGCTCAAGTTTGCGCAAGATGCGCACGCTAAATGGGTCAAGGCTCTCGTCATAACGGACTGGAGCAGGAACGCAGAGGCTGTCAGCAAGCTCATTGATATCAAGGCGCATATCGATTCTAAGAGGATGCTGTACGACTATGCACAAGACCTGCTCATCGATCTCAAGAGAGGGCTCAACGGCGCGAGACTACCGAATCCTGATTTGAAGACCGCTTTGCAAGTCCTCACTACTGGCGAGGCATCGTGGGTCCCAGAGGTAAGCTTTCCACTATAAACGCGAGTACTCCCACTGACATCAACTTGTAGCCTGGGTACATACCTCCGCCGCCTCTCACACCGGAGGAGCAGTTGAAGTGGATTGATGATCTGAACACCATGCTTTCTTTACGCCTGAATCTGGATGACTATGACAAGATTCCGCATCAGTTCAAGACCTACAGCATACACTCCGGCAGAGTGACTTTCAAGGTTAAAGGCGAATTTGAGGTAGATTTGACCATTGCCGATGAGGACTTCACCAAGCAATTCTGGTTCATCGACTTTCGGTTCGCATTCTCTCCGTGTGCGAAAAAGCTGTCTGATGGGCTGGTATCATTCCTGGAAGGCCAAGTCAACGAGATCCTTGGCAAGGACGGTTTGGAAGGCTGCTACAGGTTCCTGCACGAATTCGTCCTCACGCACAAGATCAATGAGCTCAAGCGACAGGCACTCGAATTGAGCCGAAGCACGTGGACAGGAACCTTGATGGTGGAACCCCTGAACCGAGCTTTGGCCCTGCAGTACTGGACCACAAGATACGGACCAAACGGGCCCAAGAGCTGGGTCATGGTCGCCGTCAACAGTGCGAAGAAAACAAACGGCCAATTAGATCCGAAACAGTCGAGTCGATTAGTTGCGCGGTGGTACCGGGACAACAAAGAGGTCAAAGACGTCCTATTACCGTTTGATGTCGACACCCTCTGTGCAGAAGATCTGCTCAAGACGGCGGTCGCCAGGCACGTGGAGCATATTCTCTCATCGATTCACTCCAAGTTGCTGTCATACCCTCGTTTCGCGAACCGGGAATCATCGATGACATTGAAGGTCTCGAAGAGGGAGCCGGTGGAATCGTTCTTGAGCATGCAACTGAGCCCACGAGAAAATGTTATCTTGGTCGTAGAACCAGTAACTGGCTTCGCGGCAATTCAACCTCACACCAAATACACACTCAGTGGTGAGACACGGCTTAACTACGGCCAAAAGGATCCAGCAGAAGATGGTGTGGTCTGTCTCGAAAGCATCAGGTGGGGTTACGTTATGGAAGAGTTCAACCGCCGGGGGCGAAGCGTTGGATGGAAGACCTGCAAGAGTCCACTCTCAAACGAAGATATCAAGCAACTTATTCGGACTAGGGAGGCATTTCAGACAGTCTTCTTGCAGCGTCAAAGTTTGGATGAGGACTGGCACGTCATGGCCTCTTTGAGCCTTGCTGGTGATGAGTGGTGGTTGATACAAATGTAAGTCTGATCCGCCGCGTACTTGAAGTGTGAAACGCTAACTCGAATAGCGACCGCAACACGCCAGCGCGCCCCATCAAGTTTTCTTGTCGACTGCGACTAAACCATGGACAACCCGACTTGGACGACTCATTCTGGAGCAACCTGACCACCTTCGTTACTGGCACGATTAGCCATGTCACCGATTTGCAAAACTTGCATACTAATAGGATCAAGTATGTGATGAGGGAATCGACCAACTATTCTTTGCCTCAACAAGTCCGTATGCCATCAATTCTTCTCAAGCTGTCACAAATTCTACGCCACAGCCATCTCGGTGGGCATTCCGGCGCCAACGACGCATCGGATGAATCAGACAAATACGCTCCCTCATGGGCCCAGAACCATGTCGAGATCAAGTTCAAGGGGCTTCAACCTCAGGTTCCTGCGACTCTCGGGAAAGATGACAAGGGTGCCTCACCGGTGGATGTGATTGACAACTGCAAGGTCAACACCGTAGTGGACGCGATAATCAGGGTGAAGGACAGGTCTAAGTTCACGCTGCTTAAGGGGCGGATTGATCGGGACGTGTCTTTCAGCCCTCGAAAGGGCGAATTTATCTTCCGCATTCGACAGACGGTCGGACACCCTATCCTCGACATTCTTACAAGCCACGTCAAATCCATAGACAGGCTCTTTGGCTTCCTCGAAGCCATTAGCAAGGCAAGAGGTTCTCTCAAATGCGAGAGAATGAGTCTTCGCCAAGTCATCTTCACATACGGCGATGTCGCAATGCCGGGAGAGAGCGACGCGACAGCAAAGCCTCGCCGTTGGCGGGCAACTCTTGACCTAGCCCGGAGCGATATCCGGATATCTTTAGAAAGGGGCAATCCGCATTTGCGAATGCTGGACTTGTTCACAACGATGGTCAACACCCAGGCTGGGCTTAAAGCCCTCATTATCTACATGCCGTTAATGTTACCGGTGCTGAAAACGGTTGAGAGCATCGAGTCCAAGTGGGAGGCTCTCGAATCTACAAATCAAGGGCGCGTCGAGGTGTTCCCAAGAGCCGTTGACTGGGTTGCCATTCGCTACACACTAACAAGCCCTTCAGGGCAGTTGCGGGTACTCTCCGTTGACGTAAGAAGCAAGATAAGACGCCACGAGTCGTGGTTCCACGTTCAGCGGGTGACGGGAGGCGAGTCTTTCGGCCCCGACGAGGAGTTTAACAAACTTCTCAAGGGCATCTGGGAGTCCCACGGAGATGGCTGGAGGGGACTCACCACCGCGGCGGCATCCAGGCCTGGGCCAAGCATCATGGATCTGCTTACAAAACTCGACGACGCAGTCCGCACCCACGCCGCGACGGGCGGCAACGGGCCACCATCATCGGACGGCGCCGCGACACAATTCAGTCAGACCTTTTCGGCAAACCAATCTTTCGGCACGCAGCCTACAAGCGTCAGTCAGGGGAGCAACAGGACCTCAGGTAGTAAGCAAGCGCCGTTGGTACTCGACTAAGACGGGACGCCAGCACGGGTTTGCTGTGTCATGGTTGCTGTCTCAAATACCTTTTCTTCTTTTTTTACTTCTT